TCTGCATTTTAATATCCACCCTCCCCCGACCCCGCCTCAATTCCACCCGTGGCCACACCTTGAGAAGCACCGCCCTGGCTTCCAGGGAGAGGGGAGGGGATGGGCCTGCCGTTCTTTGCACATTGGGCTTCGGTGGAAAGATGTTTGATTTTGTTCAAAAGAGCCCTGAGGCTAAAGTGTGAAAACCCTCTTCTAGTATATCTCCTATTCAGATGTGAGCAGAGAGGCCAGCTTTTGCCAGGATCCACAGACAGAGGGCGCAAGGTGACACCGTCGGGACTGAGCAGGGAGAGAGACTGGAGCTGGCAAGGACATGGGCCTCCGGAGTTGGACCCCGCCCCAGTGGATGAAGACCCCCTCCAAAGAGACCAGCCTCCCTCCCTGTGCCAGACCTCAAAACGAGGGGGGCAGGTACAAGTTCAGAGGTCTCCAAGACCACCCTCCGTTCATTTGCTAGAAGGACTCACTAGACTCAGGAAAGCTGTTAGGCTCACAGTTACAGCTTGTTACAGTAAAAAGATAGGGATTAAGATCAGCACAGGGAGGAGGTGCACAGCCCACACTCCAGGAGAGATGAGGCGCCGGCTTCCAGCTGCCCTCTCCCAGTGGAGCCATAGAGGCAGCACCTGATTCTCACAGCAACGACATGTGACGACATGCAAGTACTGCCAACCAGAGCAGCTCACTCGAGATCTTCGTGTCCAGAGTTTTGTTTGTCTTGAGACAGGGTCTGGCTCTGTTGGCACACTGGAGTGCACTGGTGAAATCACAGCTCATTGCAGCCTTGACTTCTCAACTCCAAGTCATCCTCCCACCTCAGCCTCCTGAGTAGCTACGACTACAGGTATGTGCCACCATGTCTGGCTAATCTTTTTATTTTTTGTAGAGATGAGGTCTCCCTGTGTTGCCCAGGCTGGTCTTGAACTCTTGGCTTCAAGTGATACTTCTGCCTTGGCCTCCCAAAGTGCTGAATTAAGCAGCTCACCACCCACATGACTGACCTCATACATCAAGCCAATATCCTGTGGCCCAAGACCCCCACCATAAATCACATCATTTATGATGTGGCCCAGAGTGGCCCAAGACTCTCAGATCAGCTACCAGCAGGATATTCCAAGGGCTTAGAGATGAATGCCCAGGAGCTGAGGATAAAGGGCCTCATCTTTGTTTGGGCAAGGTTAAGCCTCTACTGCATAGCAGACCACACAGAAGGGTGTGGACCACCAGAGAATTTTGGTAAAAATTTGGCCTCTGGCCTTGAGCTTCCAATTCTCTGTATCCGTCAGACTTCTGTGGTTACAAGAAATAGCCGCTGACCCTGGTCACCAGAGGCTGCAACTCAGGCCGCAAGCAGCTGCCTGGGGCGTGTCCAAGGAGCAGAGACAACTACTGGACATGAACTTAAAGAAGGTAGTCAGCTGCCGCCACTTTCGGCCAGCATCTGCAGCCAGCAAGCTGGGACTGGCAGGAAATAACCCACAAAAGAAGCAAATGCTATTTCCAGCTCCAGGGGGAGGGGATGCAGGGGGAGGCGGCACTGCAGTTGCTCAGGACACGCTCCTGTAGGACCAAGATGGATGCGACCCAAGACCCAGGAGGCTGAGCTGCTCAGATGCAACTGACAAGTTTACTTTAAAAAGGTCTATGATCTTGAGGGCAGACACCAGAATTCCTCTTATAAAGAAAACTGTTTGGGAAAATACCTCGAGGGAGAAAAGATCTTGGGCCAAGATGCTGAATGAGAATGCAAAGCCTGAGCTGCTCTGCAAGAGAAAATAAGCGGGACGGAGGATTTGCTGTGGACAGAGATGGAAGAGAGGGGAACAGAGAAGTGTGGGGAAGAGATACAAACCAGCAGGATGGCAGGGGCAAAGGGTTCAAGGGGTGATGAGGCCAGTGGGACCCCACAGAGTTGGGGAGACAAAGGAACATTGGTTGCTTTGGTGGCACATAAGCTCCTTGTCTTCCTCCAGTGCCCAAAATCTCATTAAAGCTTATTTATTTACCTCCAGTGGCTGTGTGCAATGGGGTCTCTTGTGGAAATGAAGGAGGAGATGGGTTTCATGTGTAGCATCACCACATGGGATGGAACCAGAGACATGGAAGCAAGATGCTAAATGAAGAAGGCTGTGAGGGCTGGGGTTCTCAGGCACCTTAGGAACAGCCTGTCTTTTTTTTTTTCTCTCTCCAAAAAAATTTTTTAAGAGACAGTGTCTACTGTCACCCAGGCTGGAGTGCAGTGACATGATCATAGTTCATTGTAGCCTCTAACTCCGAGGATCAAGCAATCCTCCCACCTCAGCCTCCCAAGTAGCTGGGACCACAGGTGCCCCTCACCATGCCAAGCTAATTTTTAAAAATTAGATAGTACAGAAACTTCCCAAAACTGGAAGTTATAAAAAGACATGAGGGATCCGTTCTAATTTGTGTTTAGAGTATAATGGTCGAGCTCCATTCTTTTGCACGTGGATATCCAGTTTTACACAACACTATGAATGTAATGAATGCCACTGAATCGTATACTCAAAAATAGCTAAAATGGCAGGCGGTGCCAGGCCTTTTCTGCAGTTTCTAGAG